TGTGGTTAAGATATATTCATATAAACCTTTGAAGGAAATATATATAATGCGAGACCATTAGTCAAAGATAAGTGCGAAGATGAAGGATGTGGTGATGTCCTAATTTAAGAACGTATTCCGTATTTGTTGTGTACTCCTATCGTTATGGAATTAATCAAGTATGGTTTCAGTGTTTTGACTTTTATTGCATTCATTCATTCATACTCCGTTCGTAATTGTTTGATACCTAGCTACCATGTATGTTAGAGAACATGAGGCTAGCTCAGCTCAGCTCGAAGGTATAGTATGAGTACTGAATTTCAAAGTCTGTAATTCGCATAGGAGAAATATAGTCGTTTATTGTTTGAATCATGAAGGCCGGGCTTTAAATGCGAAAGAACCAAACAGCCATATCTTTCATTAGTGCATGTAGTTGACCCAAAAACAACCAAAGAAAAGTTGAGACTTTAAGAGATGGAAATGGGGTGTTGCAGTTACACAGCCCATTGCAGAATGTGGAGTCCAGTTGGTACCAGCATCAAGTCGATCGGCTCCTTTCCATTTCAATTCCCCCTCTTTATATTTCTTTTGGTCTCTCTATGTCATGTCATCCCTTTTTATCCCTTTGACTATCCTACTTGGCTCGCAGTGTGGACTGCTCCAGTTTCAATTCCCCTATCTGGCTCCCACTCTTTTGACATTTGAGGACCACTTGTAGTGGTAAGAGTCTAACAAGTTAAAATATGGATTCGTTCATATCAAAACAATGTTTAGACTTCGTTAATATTGTTTTTTCTGCATTCTTGCAATGGTTTAGTGATGGGCTTCGTTGACCGTAAGGATTTCTCAACGGATTTCTTGAATCGTATACAAATGAGGATTTGCATTTGAGTTTTCTCGCACTTAAAATGGATAATAATATAGGGTGTAACTACATGTATCGTCTCCACAATGACGGAAAAGGGAATCATGAATTAACTAAATTCAGCGATTAAAATAAATATAAAATGCGATGTGTGAGATTTGATTGTTGGAAAATTAAAATACGAATAAACGATTAAAATAACTGAGTTCTTTATAATTAATGACGATAAGGAACAGGGATTGATTCCGGGGTAATCAGATTTCTGACTGATCAGGCTTAATCACATGAAAATTATTTAATTGAGCAACGCTGGTCAATACTAAGATCTTATCGCTCTCGCGGCGTAGAGTACAATAATTTAGGAGATCAGACTGATCTCTGACAGGATCCTATATTATTGTCAAAACAAGTGAGCGTACGGCCACTTAAAATTTACGAATCTCTTAGCGAACGATTAAGTGTGTGAAAGTGTCCTAGAATAAATTAGATCTCTCTTAATTTATTCTATGTGCAATTATAATCCTAGCTGCAGTTCTAGGTTACAAAAGATATCAATTAAATCATTCAAACACAAATTAAATAAAATAAAATTCATGCAATTAATCTCTCAAGAAAATAACTCTAGATCATGATTAACTCATTCATCAATTCCAAATCCCTAATTAAAACTACTCACAATTCAAAATTGGGAATAATTTTAAAATTGTTATATTAAGATAAAATCTGCAGAGGGCTGATAAATTGGGCCATAATAGTTTCAGTTCAAAAAAACACTAAGGGCCTGTTTACTAACAGAGATATTTTCCAGTTTTCCAGAAAACTAGAAAACTGGAAAACAGAAAACAGGAAACGTGTTTACCAGAGAAATTGCTGGAAAACTGGAGAAAGGAAAAAAGAAAAATGCGTTTACGAAATCGTTTTCCAAAACGGAAAAATGAGACATGTCTCTCTTTTCCTTAATGATTTGGAGAAGTGACGTTTACTAGTTTTCCAAATTTGGAAAACGCAAATGCTACAATGCCGCTGCAATGAATTTGCGTACTTACACCTAGTGGTGGCTCCGGTCCCGCTCCGATGTCGATTCCATTCTGGTACCTCCATCCTCGTACCTTACCCCTTACCCCTACCCACCCAACCCCCACCCCGCGTACCCCTTTTCCCTACAATGACCCCACCCCCCTACCACATGCCCCTACCTCGGCCCCACCCCGATCCCACCCTACCCTACCTCCACCCCTTACCACCTCGACCCCACCCTACCCCTATCGCCATCCTATCCTAACTCCCTACCCCTACCTTACCCCAACCCCAACCCCAACCCCAACCCTACCCACTACCCCCACCCTTACCCCTAGGCCCTAACCACGATCCTAACCCACCCACTACCCCACCCAACCCCCTACCCCTAGACCTTACCACCCCCACCCCCGACCATACCCCACCCCACCTTCCCTACCCCCACCCCTACGAGTAGGTATGGGTGGGTATGAAGGGTTGTAGGGGAGTATGGGTAGAGTGTAAGATCGTGGTAAGAGTAGAGGTAAGGGTCAAGGGTGTGGAATTGGGTGTAGGGTGTAGGGTGGGGGTACGAGGTATAGGGGCAGGGTAGGGGTTAGGCGTGTGGGTACACGTACGAGGTGATCAACCCCACATATTATATTATATATTTGTGTTCATGAATGTTTGTGTGTATATATGTATAGGGTTATTTTGGACATTTTAATGTTAAGCGGTGTTTTAAACCTTTTGAAATAAACATGATCTTACAACATTGCTTATTTTATGCGCCGCTTATTAACGCGAGTCTTAATAAGCACCATTTAGTAACCCGTGAAGTAAATGTGTCCTCAGTCTTCTGGATGATCACAGAACTGAGTGAAAAAATTGATGAACATGTTTTCAAATTTGAAAATGGAAAACTAAAAAATAGAAACAGAAAATTGGAGATAGAAAAACTGAAAAATAAAAACAGAAAATTGGAGAACGAAAAACAGAAGTAGAAAACAGGAAAATATCTCTGTTAGTAAATAGGCACTTAGGGTTTTGTCGTATGGAGTGCAGTATGTTTTAAAATAAGGAGTGTTTGGGAAGGAACCAAAAACAGGGCCCCAAGTCCCGGTCAACCAGGCCATATGAAAAAAATCTAAACAGGTGGCGCTGATGTGTTAATTTCTGGCGGAATTATTACTCTCCGACGTAAATGTCTTGAAATTGGACAAATATGTTAATTAGAGGACATATTATGCAAGTAAATGAAGTTAGAGGACCAATATCGGGTACAGCCAAAAGTTACGGGGCTAATTTTGGAAATTTCTCTTTAAAGAATATACTTAAACTTATAAGGATTCTAACACCTGGATCTCCTCCAACATAAGGATTTGGTGATGGCTTCATCGACAGTAAGGATTTCTCAACGGATCATTTCAATTGTATACAAATGAGGATTTCCTCATTCATTTTAGTTTTCTCGCACTTAAAATAGATAACAATATAGAGTGTAAGTATCGTTTGCACATGGACGGAAAAGGGGAATCAAGAATTAACTAAATTCGGCGATTAAAATAAATAAAATAAAATGCGATGTGCGAGATTTGATTGTTGGAAAATTAAAATGTGAATAAACGATTAAAATAACTCGATTCTTTCTAATTAATAACGATAGCGAACGGGGATTGATTCTGGGATAATCATATTTCTGGCTGATCAAACAAAATCACATGAAAACTATTTAATTGAGCAGCACTGGTCAATACTAAGATCTTAGCGCTCTCGCGGCGTAGAGTACAGTAATTTAGGGGACCAGACTGATTTCTCTTGCGACGGGATCCTATATTATTGCCAAAACGAGCGGGCCCCTTAACAGTTATCAATCTCTTAGCGTACGATTAAGTGTGTGAAAGTGTCTTAGAATAAATTAGATCTCTCTTAATTTATTCTATGTGCAATTATAATCCTAGCTGCGGTTCTAGGTTACAAGAGATATCAATTAAATCATTCAAACACAAATTAAATTAAATTAAATTCATGCAATTAATCTCTCAACAAAATAATCCTAGATCATGATTAACCCCTTCATCAATTCCAAATCTCTAATTAAAATTACTCACAATTCATAATTGAATTAACAATAGAATTATGAATAAAAGAATTAATTGTCATTAATTAAAAAGATGTAACTTACAAAGAATCCCCAAATCATGATGAACAATGCTAGAAAAACTCTCTAAAAACGTAGTAGGTTTATCTCGCTAAGCTTCATTATGAAAAACGGACAAAACTAGGTTGAATTTATAGAAAAACAGCAAAAGTTGGTGAATTTCGGTCCGTTGGTTCGTCTGCGCGATCGTTTGTGCGGCGTGCGGATGACAGCGCAGACGATTTCCGTTTGCGTAATTGCTCCGGCTGCACGGCGTGCATGCGGGTTCTGCATGGTCTGACTGTGCAGGCACTTCTGAGGCATGTTTTGGACCGCGGGGCGTGCGTTTCATACTTTTTGACTTCTTGCTCACTAAATCACCCACAGGGCATGCGGGAATGACGCGCGGGGCACGCAAATGTCTCTTGAACCATTTTCTTTCTCTTTTCTTCCTCGTATGCTCCCGATTGATCCTATCTTCAATTTTTTACCTCTTTAGCCTCAAATCACGCTCTTAAATCATCTCATGGACCTCTGATGCTTCTTGCCATCTCTCGAACGCGTCCCAAATCTTCTCAAATTAAGCTCAAATGCCGATGTCGGGTCTAAATTAAAACTTTTCTCGACAAATGCCAACCAAACCCGGTAAACCGTGACTTGAGCTAATTAAACGTTTTGTGACTCAAAAAGATTATGAAAAGTGACAAAACGCAATCTCAACACGCATCAAATGTGTGTTGAAATATCTCCTCAACCCATTTACACTGGGATGTGTGCTAATGTTGACTTGCATGCATGATCTTCTTCATATCACTATCATCCTTCTATATAAAGAAGTATACCTAAATAGGAGTTGGACAATAAGAAAGTTCCAAAACAAGACTTGTTGTTGATTTTTCCCGGAATAGGAGTTAATAATTAATCGGGCGGTTTCTATTTCCAATTGTACCCTCTTTACAACTAGCATGCATTATTTTAATTTTAATAATGTAAGTCTTCCTGCGCATCTTTGATTGCATCATACTCACTTTCCTCTCTCCTCTTTCCATTCCCTACCTTCTCTTCTCTTTCTTCTATCCTGCTCTAGCACTCATCCATCTCAAGACCTCATCTTCAAATTAAATTCTCCATCTCAGGGATCCGGCGACAATAAACATTGAAAGTTGGACTGTGATTTTTCTCATCTACTCCAACCATTGGTGGGCGACGAAGATTATGAGGTAAATTTTAATTTCTTCTCTTCTCCTCTTCTTTTTCTTCCCCTTCTACTCATTTCTTTTCTTTTGTTCGACACAAGAACTTCGATTCTTTTTATCTTACTTGAACCAGCTATGTTTTTTAATTGATTTTTTGTTCTCTTTCTTTTCGATATCCAGATCTGGAGTTTTCAAGTTTTTCTCTTTCTTTAATTTCTTCTCTTTTTTCTTTTTCAATTTTTCTTTCACATTTTATAGTTATATCGTTTTATTTTCTCTTTGACAATAAGATAATAATTTTACATTCATGTCAATCAATTTTTTAGTGGTTCAAAATATTTTTTTATGATTTGAATTCCGAATTGGCATAAATCGCTAGTAATTTATGTCATTAAAATGAAAATGCTACCACTTTTCATATATAATACGGACTACTAATAATGCCATGTTGTCCGTATAAAATGTTATGTTGACATTTATTGTCATTTTTATGACACTAATTCCTTCAAGATGGCAAAAACAATACCATTAATGCCACATTTTTTCGTGTATAAACATGTTATTTTTGCACATGATGTCATCTATATGACAATAACTATGTAGTGTTGACAAAATCATTTCCCCTATAAATCCAACATTTATAAAATGTTTTGTTGACATTTATTGTCATTTTTATGACACTAATTCCTTCCAGATGGCAAAAAAAAATACCATTAATGCCACGTTTTTTCGTGTATAAACATGTTATTTTTGTCACCTATGTAGTGTTGACAATATCATTCCCCCTATAAATCCGACACTTCAATATATAAATCTTATTAAAAATGATTTTCAAATGGTGAGATAATTGTTTAAATAACTTTTTTCAGATCTGGGATCTGTAATGATGGAGCCAAACATGGTGGTGGTGCTATAAGAGGGGTGGCGGACCAATGGCGGACGGCGACTAGCGGCGGCGGCACCTAACAGTTGTGATGCCGACATAAGCGGCGATAACGATGTAGATTGCGGCAGCATCTATTGGCGGCGGACGGGCGGCGGTGATTGGCGGTGGGTGACTGGTGCAGGTCTCGCCCCTTGGGTGTTGCCGGCGGCAATTTCTGTAGGCCGGGGTAGGCGGGTGGGCGTGAGGGAAAAATGTGTTACTGTTACGCTAATGTATTTAGATTATTATTCTACTTTATATTTTTACTAAAAAACGGATGGAGTATTCATTAAGGGCATTTTGGTCCCTTACTATTAATTTCCGTGTGGTGAACTTCAAGTGAGATAGGAGTCCTATTTTGGCATATTTTATATGTTTTACTCTTAATCCGGTAAATCTCTCTTCTATATACAAACCACCGTGGGAATGATGGGCAAACTCCCGCTCAACACAGTATTGAGTATTGACCGTTGGATCTACGAGGAGTTTTCATCCTTGTGTTACGTGGGCCAGGGTCTTTGATGGCTGTCAGTCCAGCATGCAAATATGTCTCTTCTTGAATGGTGTAAAAGATGTCAGAGTAGATTCTTGGCTTTGGTTTTCCATCAAAAAAAGTGCTCCATATCACTGATGGTACAGGTGCGGGTCGGTCGGTTTCCCAGGTGATAGCAGCTTTCGTGGTTGCTCCGAAGTGTCGATGTATCTCCGAGGCATCTATGGCTCCCAGACAGCGGCCGACTTCCAAAGCAGATCCCCGTGATGACAGTCCTGTCTTCCAGCTGGCGTCAGATCTCCTTCACCGGCGGGCGGCCTTACATTACATCTTTGCAACTCCCAGAGAGGTGCAACTCTAGGCTGTTGCTTCTACTGCCGTCCGACACATAGTTGTACTTCCAAAGCAGATTCTCAAGACGGCAAGACATCCTCGCGCTTCCGAGTTTCAGGGGGCGATTTGGCCTGGACGAGGCACATAGCATCGGAAGAAATGGTTTCTCAGAGGTATATATGTGAAGAAGATGGGGAGAAATTAAAGACAGGTTAGTCTTCTCCGTTTCTTTTTACATTTAATTTCACGTATAGATTTGATCTAATTGTTTTTGACAATGTAATCTGAACCTATTTCTTTTCTACTGAGATTGTTATTAATATGGGGTATGAATTCCTTTGCTCATTTGGTTCACTTCTTTGTTGGTTACAAATGTCATGTTTTCAGCGTGTCTTGAAACAACCTCAACTATTCAATTTTTTCAAGAAAAAACTTCTACACTTCCTTTACCTTTACACCAGGAACGAACTACAGAGGCACTGGATCAATATAAATCTTGGAAGAAGAATCACTTATGTATGTGTCTAAATTGAAATAAGGAGTTTTAAATTCTCCTATTAAAAAGGAAAAGAAATAAAAAGAGCTCAAGTGCTTTAATTCTTCTAAATTCTTATAACCTTTTGATATGCATTATCCTTTATTTTCTTTTAGCATATTAATGCATTGTATTTTGTGAAAACTAGCATATATGAGTATTATTTTACAAATAATAGGAGATATGATGATGTTAGGAATAAGCTTGGAGAGATAGTCCGGAAACTAATGAACTTAGATCAAAGGTTTAAATGTGCTTCATGTAAGTAACCCTTGCTGGAGGAATGTTAAGATATACTGCCTATATCGCAGGTTCTATTTTCCTTTAAAACAAATGCATTTATCAATCTAAATTTCAATTTTTAACCTTAACAATGTAATAGGTGCCAGGTCAGTGTTTGTGTTATGGATGCCACTGCTTATGCTTCATTTACACAGTGGGATCGGGAATGTACAGACATGTTGGAGGGCATTCGGTGGAAAGCGGGCCAGAGGCTTCTGGTGGAGGGCATTTGGCTATGGCAAGCTTGCGCGTTTGATGGCGAGTGGTCTAGGATTGTATTTTGGCATCGGAGGAACACCAGTTTCGACTTTCGACTACACGAACCATCCTTAAACTGCAGCAAAGGGTATTCAAATGGCAAGAAGCAGTCCTTTCCTCGATTCCCCGGAGCTACAGGAATCATTCCAACAACATCGGTGATCAGTAACACCAGCAACACTCAATTACGTTGAGCGAGTTAACATGACTTCAAACATGTTCCAATGAGATCCCGTTTCAGTCAGCTTCAGGTCCCCCAAATTTGGATTTGGAGTATTTTTTTTAGGTGTAAGAAATATTGTTGATTGGAAGGTTATTTGCATTTATGAAATTTAAAATGCAATGACCTGGTGGTTTTGGATGACAACAGCGGAAACAGTGACCTGGAATGTTTTTACCAGGAAAAACCGACAATGCAATAAAAAAACACTGGAATTCTACCTTCAGACGTCATTATGCCGCACTTGAAATGTATATAGGCGAGTTTAGAACCATGACGGAAGATGTAAGTGCATAAAGATCCAAAGCATCCTCTGAGCATATTGACTATGCAGAGCCTCTTCCTTTCCAATCCATGAAATTGGTGCATTGGCCACATAGTAACTGGTGCATTATTTCCCAATTATACTGCCAATAATGCACCTCTCATGAAACTTTGGAGGAGATTAGGATGATTGACTGTCGCTCCTTGACAAGGGCAATGGATTGATGGCAGATTCAGGTTTGGACACAATAACTAGGCAACCTCTATGATAAGTTCGTATTTAGACACGCATTTGATGCGTGTTCAGGTCGGATTTTGATGGATTTCTTAAATTTAAGGCGTTGCAAGTCTCAATTTTGGCTCAAGTTGTGTTTAGCAGGCGTTGGATCGAGTTTTGTTGCAATTGGAGTTGAATTGAAGAAGTTAAAGTCCGGCAATCGGCGCTTGAGAGGCATTCGGGAAGGATTTGAAGACGTTCAAGAAAGATTTGAGAGATATGGAGGTCACCGGGAGATTCACGACGAAATTCTGATGAAGAAAGAGCATTTGGATCGACCTCGTAGGCATTCGGGAGCTTTTGGAACAAGAAACGAAGAAAAATGATGAAGAAAAGACCCGACACGACCGTGCCTGGGCCAGGCACGACCGTGCCTGGAGAAGACGGAGACGCGAAGACACTGCCAGCCAGACACGATCGTGTCCGGGGCAGGCACGATCGTGTCTGCATCCGAAGCGCGCGATTCTTCCGTAGGCACGATCGTGCCTGGCATCGTGTCTGGCCCCAATTTGTCCTTTTTTAGCTCAAACTCTACTGTTTTCTATAAATAAGGCCTCCATACCCCTTTTTACGGGTTACGAACATTACGGAGAGGCCTAGGGACGAATTGAACACCGTTTTTACGCTATTTTCTTCCAAGACCCTGAGATTATTTGTAAGTTCATCTTTTTAATTAATGACAATTTATTCTATTCATCTCAATTCTGTTGATTCTTCAATTATGAATTGTGAGTAGTTTAATTAGGGATTTGGGGTTGATGAAGGGGTTAATCATGATTGATGGCTAGATTCCTTTCGGTTTAATTGCATGAATGTCCGTTTAATTTGTGTTTGAATAATATAACTGATATCTTTTGTAACCTAGACTGCAGCTAGAATTATAATTGCATGTAGAATGAATTAAGAGAGATCTAATTTGTTCTAGGACACATTGACACACACTTAATCGTTCGCTAAGAGATTAGTAGCGATTAAGGGGCCGTAAGCTCGCTCGTTTTGGCAATAATTTAGGATCCGGTCGCATGAGAGATCAGCCTGGTCCCCTAAATTATTGTACTCTACGTCGCGAGAGCGGTAAGAACTTAGTAATGATTAGCTAGGCTCAATTAAATTAAATTCATGTAATTAGGCCTGATCTGCCAAAAATCTAGTTACCCCGGAATCAATCCTTGTTCCCTTCGTCGTTAGTTAATAAGAAAACCACATTTATTTTAATCGCTCATCTGCATTAGTTTTAATTTTAATTCAATCAACCAATCTCGCACAATTGCATTTTATTTTATTTATTTCTTTTTAATCGCTAAATTTAGTTAATCTTTAATTCCCTTTTGTCCGTCCCTGTGGAGACGATACTCGTACTTACACCACTATATTACGATCTATTTTAAGTGCGAGAAAATACACATCAGTTTTGTGCGCCGTTGCCGGGGACGGTGTCGGATTTAAGGGTTAATTTATTTTTACCAACTTGTTTTTAGTTTTTCGTAGGATTTTTGTCTGCTAACCTTGCAGGTCAGATCTGTTTATGCATACACGCTCTAAGAAGGGAGTATCACTAGTCCCTCTTAATCTTGAGATTGAGAAGCTCGCTAAACAGAACCGCAAGGCTTTTAGAGAACAGAAAACAACCATGGATCAACCATCTGCATCTGGAATAGCTGGGACGTCTGAGGTCCAAACTCCAAACCACTTCTGGTAATCTGGATTTCTATGTCAATACCTCTCCCCAGTCTTCGCAAGAAAATTCACCTAGAAATTACTCGGGGTTTCAAAATCTCCGTACCCCATTCTTTCCCCAAAATCAGTCCACTCCACAACTAAATCTTCCACCACTCTATCAGCTCTTCCAAAATACTTCTATTGCTCCCGAGACCACTTTTCAAAACCAAACCTATGGGATGCAAGGTCTAGGGCAAAACAATCCAGTCTTTCAGCCCAGACAGAACCAACCACCAGTCACACAAAATCCACCCCTTTCTCAGCCACAAAATCAGCCCTTCCAAAATCAATTTCAACAATTCCATCAACCCCAACCACAGCCAAATATCATCCGTCCACAACCCATTAGAACACAACCAGTTCATCAGCCGAGACATCAGGCTCCTCCATACCAGAATTATGTCCCACATGACAATCCGCTCTATCAAGGAGAGACCATTGCAGACTTCCTAGCCCCTGAGATTACAGAGTATGACAGCATTCAAGTACCGGGAATTACTGCGCCCCGTTATGAGATCAAGCCGGCGGTGATCAATATGGTCTTGAACAATCAGTTTGGAGGGAGCCCTACAGAAGATCTAGTGGCACACATTACCAAATTTCTGAGGATGTGCCAGACTTTCAAGATTCCTGGGCTAGATGATGATCAGGTACGGATGCTATTGTTCCCTTTCTCATTGAGGGATGACGCGCAGAGGTGGTTGGATAGCAATCCACATCACCACATTCAGACTTGGGATCAGTTGCATAAGGCCTTTATTAAAAAAATACTTCCCAACATCAAAGGCCATAAAGTTGAAAAAGCAGCTACAGGACTTCAAGCAGGGTTCTTTGGAGACATTAGCTGAGGCGTGGAAGAGATTCAAAGTGCTGAGAAGAGCTTGCCCTCAAGGCAAGATGACTGATTGTGAGGTTCTATTTTGCTTCTACAGTGGACTAAGCAATGAAGGGAAGATGATGTTTGATGCTTCTGGTGGTGGAGCTTTTCCTCAGTTACCATCTGAGGTTGCGGAAGAACTAGTTGAGAAGATTGTTTCGAATAATGCTTCATGGTACAGTTCTCGGGACACACCTCATCAGAAGGCCCCGGGTTTGTATGAGATCAGTGATAATTCTGCTCTTTCTGCAAGGGTAGATGCTTTGACTTGTATGATACAGAAGTTTGTTACTACCGTGGAGGATAATCAGAAGAAGACGAAACTTGCTCTCTCGATGCCCAGTGTTAATATGGTAGCCCCCGGTCCTATTAGTCCCTCTTGTACTATGTGTGGGGGACTCCATTCGCCGCATGAATGCACTATGATGACTCACTTGGCAGCCCCTGGAGTAGAGCAAGTGGATGCGATGTATTATCAGCGACAGGGCTACTACAATCAGCCCTACGGACAGCAGCAGCATGGAAATTACGGGCAAGGAAATCAGCAGCAGCAGTCTAGAAACTTTAATCAGCCCCAAGCACCTCAAGGACAACAACAAGCACCTCATCTGACGCAAGGAAGCTTCAAGAAAAAAGACTGAGCAAAGATTCTCTAGCTTGGAAGAAACAATCAAACAATTAGCACAAAATCAACTAAGGATGGAGACTCAATTGGGGCAGATCTTTAAGGTTGTATTTGAGAGGCCTCAGGGATCCCTCCCTAGTAATACTGAACCAAACCCAATAGAACATGTCCAAGCAGTCACCTTGAGGAGCGGAAAAGAGTTGGAACCTACTGCCACAACAAAGAAGCCTGATGAAGCTGAAGTTGAACCGGCTGCCCGGGAAGAAGAAAAGGAGAAAGACGAGGGAAGAGAGGTGGCGGCTGCACCAAAACAGCCCGTTCCGGTCAAGAATTACACCCCACCTCTCCCCTATCCTACGCGATTGACTAGGAAGAAGGATAGTGACCAGTTTGGTAAGTTTCTGCATCTCATGAAACAAGTGCAGATTAACTTACCATTCGTGGATGCACTAGCTCAGATGCCGAAGTATGCGAAGTTTATGAAGGATTTACTCACGAACAAGAGGAGGCTGGAAGAAGCGTCTACTGTGACGCTTAATGAGGAGTGCTCAGCTGTGATACGGACCGATCTGCCGAAGAAGCTTAAGGATCCAGGTTCTTTTACTATTCCCTGCTTTATAGGAGATCTTACTTTTGATAGGGCCCTGGCTGATTTGGGTGCAAGCATTAATTTGATGCCTTTGTTTTATATGAAAAGTTTGCACTCAGTCCACTTAAACCTACACGTATGTGCATTCAGTTGGCTGATCGTTCAGTCAAATATCCCCAAGGGATTATTGAAGACGTATTGGTTAAAGTGGACAAATTTATTTTTCCGGTGGACTTTGTTATTTTGGACATGGATCAGGATCGAGAGGTACCATTGATATTGGGCAGACCATTCTTGGCAACTGCCCGAGCACTTATTGATGTTGGAGACGGTAAGCTTGTCCTCCGCGTTGGGGATGAGTCTGCTACCTTTGACATGTCCAAAATAATGAAGAGGCCCTGTCAGGATAGTGGAGAATGTTTTTACATGGATGTGGTGGATTCTTTGGTGGAGGATTGCATTCCTAACATGCTTTCTGATGAAGTCTTCTTTGATCTTCTTTTGGATGATAGTTTGTCAGCAGAGGATCTTGAGCTCCTCCCTAGTTTTGATTGTATTATGCTTGATGGGGAGGAGGACTCAAGTGATGCTAGTGATGTGAAGGGGAAGGAAGATGATTTAGATAAGGTGGAGAAGGAAGATTGTCAGACTGATTCTTCTATTGTTACTCCTTCTCCATTAAATCTAAAGCCTCTTCCCTCCCACCTTGAGTATGCGTTCTTAGATGATAATTCTGACCTCCCTGTTATTCATGCATCCGGGCTTGAGCCATCCCAAAAATCTGCATGTCTTGATTTACTTTGTGAACAAAGGAAAGCTCTAGCCCGGAAACTTTCTGACATGAAAGGAATCAGTCCTGTTTTCTACACTCATAAAATTTTGATGGAAGATAATGCTAAACCGGTAGTGCAACCACAAAGAAGACTGAATCCTAATATGCAGGAGGTGGTCAGGGAGGAAGTCATCCGTCTGTTAGATGTAGGCATTATTTATCCAATTTCAGACAGCCCCTGGGCCAGCCCGACCCAGGTGGTTCCCAAGAAAGGGGGGATGATTGTGGTTAGGAATGAGAAAGATGAGTTGATTGCT